GGGGACTAAACTCATGACCTTGCGCTTATGAGGCAGGTGTCAGAACCACTGAGCCAAATCCCCAGCCCTTCAGATGAGAATTTTAACTGATACCAATCAGGGCCTGTGTGTGGAGCCGAGGGTGGGAACATTTTCAGGGAAGGGGTAGTGTGAGAATCCACCAAGTAGAAATTGTTATCAGAAGTAGGGGATGTGGGAAATTAGAGAATGAACGCAACAAATGCTGATAAAACAATGTGAAATAATAGTAGGCAAGAATTGAAAGAGCCTTTATGAAGTGCTGGTTTTAATAACATCTGAAATATTAATAACAACTTGGAGTTCCTAGAGTGTTTTCATACACTAGCAGTGAAAATAATCAATTAGAAGAAGTATGTCAGTGTAGAGATCTTTTGCTTCTGTAGTTAAATTGATTCCTAGATACTTCATTTTTTTGGATACTATTGTGAAAGGAATTGTTTCCCTAATTAGTCTCTCAGTGAGTCTGTTATTTGTGTACAAGAAGGATATATATTGATTTTTAAGTGTTGACCTTGTGTCCAGCTAGTTTGCTGAAAGTGTCAATTAAATCTAGAAGTCTTTTGGCAGAGTTTTTTGGATCTTCTATGTACAGTATCATATCGTCAACAAATAACAACAGTTTTAACTTCTTCCTTTCCTATCTTTATTGCTTTAATTTCTTTCTCCTGTCTAATTGCTGTAGCTAATGCTTCCAGAACTATATTGAACAAGAGTGGTGATAGTGGACATCCTTGTCTTGTTCCCTATTTTAACATGAAGGTTTTCAGGTTTTGGCCATTTAATATGATGATGGCAGTTGGTTTTTCATAGATAGCCTTTATCAAGTTGAAATAAAGACCATCTATTCTAATTTTCTGCAGGTTTTTTATTTTTATCGTGAATGGGTGTTGAATTTTGTCAAATGCTTTTTCTGCATCCATTGAGATGATCATATGGTTTTTGTCCTTGACTCTGTTTATATAGTGTATTACATTTATTGATTTATCTATGTTGAACCATCCTTGCATCCCTGGAATAAATCTGATTTGGTCAGGGTGTGTGATCTTCTGGATGACCCTCTGTATTCTGTTTGCCAGTATCTTATTGAGGATTTTTGCATTTGTAGTTCTCTTTTTTGGTTGGGTTTTTCCCTGGTTTGGGAATCAAAGTAATGCTTGCTTCCTCAGCAGCATGGGAACTAGCACAAAGAATCAACAACTGGGATCTCATCTTATTAAAAAGCTTCTGCACTGCAAAAGAAACCATCAACAGAGCTAAGGGACAACCTACAATGTGGAAAAAAATTCTTACCAACTGCTCCTCAGATAAAAGACTATTATCTAGAATATATGAAGAATTCAAAATATCAGGCACCTCAAATATAAAGACCTAATTCAAAAAGGGACATCTAAAATGAACAGACAAAGAAATAAAAGTAGCAAATAAATATATGAAAAAATGTTCAACATCACTGGTCATTTGAGAGATGCAGATGTAAACACCACTGAGATTTCACCTCACCCCAGAAAGAATGGCTGCTATTAAGAAATGAATGAATAACAAATATTGGCGGGATTGTGGGGAGAAAGGAACCCTTCTCTATTGTTGGTGGGAGTGCAGAGTGGTGTGACCACTGTGGAAATCAATGTGGAGATACCTCAAAGAGCTGGGACTGGATGTTCCCTTTGACCCAGCCATCCCTTCTGTTGGGCATCTTTCCAAAAGAATTAAAAGAATCACACCACAGTGATATATGCACACCTATTTTTACAGTGGCAGTTTGTGATAGCTAAAACTTGGAAACAGCCCAATCGCCCATCAGCTGGAGACTGGATAAGTTTTTCCTGTAAAATGACGTACTACTCAGCCATAAAGAATGAGAAACTAGAGTCATTCATAGGAAAATGGATGCGTGTTGAGGCCATACTCTTAAGTGAAATAAATAAGACAGACACACATGTGTAAATACTGAATAATTTTTCTGATGTGAAAAACAAAAAGTGTAAACAAGATCCAAATTGTATAACTGACATTGTGAAATAGGAAGAAAGGGGCTAAACATGTAGGGGAATTGGAAAGGATATAGGGAAGAGAAAAATATGAGAAAAGGAAGAAATGGAAACAAAGTCTTTTTAAATAGGGGAGGAGGGAGGGGGTGAAGGGAGGGCAAGGGAATGGGGAAAAAATAAGAACCAAGATCTGTCATGTAAAAGTACAAGATCCCAATGATAAATGTAACTGTACTGTATACTTACTTAAAAAGTACCAATAAACTCAATGAGAAAAAAAAAAAAAAAGAAGTAGGTCAGCAGTCACAATTTTTGTCTTACAGATAGAGAAACCAAGTCCTACGGGGTCAATTCTGAATGATAGAAGTGGGACTGAAATCTCAGCTGCTTGAACTCCAGTGCTATTTATTTTTACAATTTTTATTTTTTATTAGCGCATGTTTGCAGAACATAACGATTACGTTCCTGTAGAGAGATGGTACGTGGACATAAGATGTCTTCATTTTATTTTTCACCCTTTCCCCTCCCCTCTCTCCTTCTCCATCCCTCTTTTGGTCACGTTCCATTTTCCATTATCTCTCTTTTATTTTGCTCATATTTATATTTTGAGTTTCTCATATAAGAGAAACCATGCAATATTTAAACTTATGCTTCTGATTTATGTCCCTTAAAATCACAGTCTCAAGGTGCAACCTTTTTCCTTTGAGTGACCCAACTCTTTCTTGTACCAGAGTAGTATTTTATTATATATGAACACTGTATTTTAAAAATTCATTCATAGGCCACTTCCAAGATTTAGCTGTTAGGAGTTGTACTGCAATAAAAAGGGGTAGGAAGGCACCATTGTGATATGATGTTGTTAACTTTGGGGAGGAATAGCTGTGTTAAACACAATTCTTAGTTTGAGGTTTTTGAGGAACCTCCATACTAATTTTCATGATCTTTTAATTAGCTTACACTCCAACCAAAAATGTAGAAGTGTTCATTTTCCCCTGTAGCCTCACCAGCACTTTTTAATATTTGATTTTTTTATGATAAGCATTTTTCTGGAGTAAAATATAATCTCTATGTATTTTTAAAATTTGCATTTCTCTAATGGCCAGAGATGTTGAACATCTTTATCATGTATTTATTGGCTATTTGTACTTCTGATAAGTGTCTCTGCATTTCAGTTTCCTATTTGTTTTTGATTGGGTATTTATTGGGGGGTAATTTCTTTTTAGTTCTTTATATATTCTAGGTATTAATCTTCTGTCCAACGAATAGCTGGCAACTTTTTTTCGCTTTCCATAGGTTATCTCTTCACTCTGTTGGTTGTTTTCTTTGCTGTGCAGAAGCTTTTTAATTTGATACGTTCCCATTTGCTTGCTTATTCTTGATATTATTTCTTGTGCAGCTGTTCAGAAAGTCATTGCCTACACCTATGTCTTCAAGAGTTTTACCTATTTTATCTTCTAGGAGATTGTTTTTAACATTTAGAACTTTGATCCTGTTTTTATTTTAGTTTAATACATAGTGAAAGACATGGATCTAGATTCAATTTCCTGCATGTGGAAAGCCAGTTTTTCCAGCACCATTTATTAAAGAGGTTATCTTTCCCCCAGTGTATGTTTTGGGGCCCTTTATCAAAGATTAGATAGCTGAATGTGCCTGGGCTTATTTGAGCATCCTCTATTCACTTCCATTGGTCCATTTGGTTTTGTTCAAATTCTAGCTCCATTCACTACTTCATAAGTTCCTTGAGATCTTCAAGCCCTGGTTTCCTCATCTGTAAAATGGAAAAGTTATAATGCCAACCTGATGTGTTTGTTAGATAAAAATAACTGAGTTGTTTATTTATTTAAAATATTCAGCACTGTGCCTAAGAGATAGAAATATCAGTACAATTTATGTTTGGAATTTCTTGCTGTTTTATTGTCAAAAATTCGCTGTTATTCTAGTAGACAAAATTATTTTTAAATGAATACAAAAATAAAGTTAAATTACTGCTTATTGTCCATTTTTTTTTCCAAACCACTTCTCAAGAAAACAGTTTCATTATGGAACCATAAGTCATGAGGATTTGACCCCTGACCTTTACTCCAAGTATTCATGAAATGGAGTAAGAATTTTGAATTAAGTATCCTTTCCAATAACCTAATGCTCTCATAGACCTTTTAAGACCAATTAGGCATAATTTGCTGTATTTCTCTGATAGTCTCCATTTAATGTTCTGGCCTTTGAACAACTATAAGCCAGATATGTTAATAATTTCTGAAATATGAGGGAGGTCATATCATTCAGGTATGGAAAGTGTTTCCTAAGCTCAAAAGGAATTGGTAGTTAGTTTTCTTTTCCTATTTCAGGTTGAGTCATGAAGCTGCATTCAATGAACCACATTTAGCCCTTATGTATCTGTTTCATAATTAGGGAGCTCTATGTTATTCCTTTTCACACTTGTTATCTATTGGCAGAAGTTCAAGATAAATATTTTCCATTTGAGCTCACACTTAAAAAAAAAAAGTTCAGAAACACAGTATTGGCAATTTCTGCACAGCCCTAGAAAGGAAGATATAGAAAAGTATAGAAAGAAAAAGATGAAAGAAAGCAAGAAAGAAAGAGAGAAGAAAGATGTAGGGAGGGAAAAATGCAGAAAGGAAAGCCTTTTTAAAAGCAATCTTTTCTAAAAATGTTTTCTATTAATTAATTTTCAATTTTATTTGCACAGTATGCCAAACTCTGGCACAATATGATCAGAAAAATTCCAATAATTTGAGAAATATATATATATATATATATATATATAGTTTCACTGTTTTTAAGTTAATTTAATATTCATGGAATCAACATATTCATGCATTTCATAAAATGCTATATATCCTTTAAATTTTATGAAGAAATACAGTAGTACCCTTCTCCTTTTGATACTTGTATATCTTTGAGTTAATCATTTTGAAGTCTTTAGTTTTTTCTGGAGATTAAATCCGTATTCTACAATAATATTCTTATAATTATTTTGCCAGTATTATGCATAAACAGTTCAATATACACAAGATATTCATGTTTGCAGATTTAATTACGTTTTAAAATATATTTTATTAGTGTCTATTAATTTTATAAAATATTGGGCTTCACTTAATGTATTTTCATCATATCTATTCCCTACTCTCCTTTACACCCCTCCCTCCTCCCCCTTATACCTTTCTTCTTCTTTTTTTTTTTTGGTACGAGGGATCAACTTGGGTCCTTGTGCTTGTGAGGCAGGCAGCAGAACTACTGAGCCAAATCCCCAGCCCTACATAATTTTTGTTGTTAATAATAACCCCACTTCTATTTTTCATATCATCTTTTTATGATTCCACATATTAGGAATACCGTATGATACCTGCCTTTCTGAGTGTGGCTTATTTCACTTAGCATGATGATCTCCAGTTCTAAGATTTAATCATTTTAAATCACACCCCCCCACACACATACTCACACACTTTATTTTCCTTCCATCTTCATAACTGCTTGTATTTATTTACCTGAATCAGACTATAATTATATTTGTCTTCTTATACAATCCCCTATTTTTCCTGAAGTTCATAATTACCTTAAAAAAATTTTTTTTCTTAGTTTTCTATGTACCTACTGCATGTTTTCTTCCAAGTGCTGTGACACATTTATATGATGATTCATCAGTCCCTTTCTTTTGGAATCCCCTGTATTAGCAAGCTCAACTTATTTCTCCAATTTTAGCATCATTCTTCTCCAGTCAGGATAGAGTCTTTCTTTGTAACTTCCTCCTCTACTTGCATGGCTCTCTTTCCTTGCCCTGGCTGACTCTCACCTGGAGATAATCTTTTGATGCTCTCCTGGAAGGAGAGTAACACAGATAAACATGAAAACAGAAATTGAAATGGCATGGTACTGACTGAAATATGTATAAGAGTTCAGACCAAAAGACACAGATTCATATGGATACAGGGGTAGCAAGAAGAGTCCATGGGAGCAACTTTCAAAGTTTATTTCCATTTCATGTGAAATGTAAAATCCACTCATGTTTATTACTGCTGCTATTTTTTTTATGAGGTCTCATTATGTTGCCCGGCCTGACCTTGAGCTCGAGGTCTCCCCATCTCAGCCTCTTAAGTAGCTATGATTACAGGGGTGCACCATCACACCCAGCTAACCATTCATACATTTTGCATGAGATTATTGATTCTGTTGCACACTCACATTGCTCTTGAAAATCAGCTATTTGAACTGGTTTCTACTTTCTTAGGTAGAAACCCATATCTCTAAGAACTACTGTACGGGGCTCAGAAGGCCCTTCATCATCTGACCAGCCTCTCAAGTGTCACTCTGCTTTGTCCTCTTGCTGTTGTGCGTGTCAGCCCTGCATCCTTCCCTGGAGACCTCAGCTGTGTTTCCCTCTCCAATTCCAGTTTTGCTTTTATCTCGTTAACTCACTCTTATCTCAAATTCATTTTCTGGCAGAGCATTTGCTAACACCTCAGTCAAAGTCAGTGTCCCCAGCTGAGTGTGCTCATGTGGCCCTCTCCTCCCTGTAAATTATTCTGACCATAGTGTTTCTGCGTTTTTGCTGAAGACTGGATTGTCTAACTCCCCCAGGAATCTACTGGCTATGCAAGAGCTGAGGTCACGTTTGTTTTGGTTCACCATTAGTTCCTCAAGAACTGGCAAGAGTCCCAGGAAATAAAAAAAAAACTTAATAAATACTGACATGAGTGAATAATTAAATAAATAATAGCTAAATTAATAAAATTTTGTAAGAAGTAGGCATGTCAATGTGGTTCAACTTACTTGCACATTCGACATGAGACAGTGTGTGTATGTGGTTACCATTTAGTAGCTATCTGCACTAATTGCTGAAATTTAACTTGGTAGTCTCAAAATAATACAGTAAGACAGTTGTGACTCTGAGGGAAATTTGAATATGGGCATACTTCCTACACAATCCCCGAGGACAATTATCAACGACTTCACATGCACGTCTATTGTGCCATTATTTTTACATTAATTCTAGATTTATTCAAAGTATTCTTAGACTTCATACATAGTTAAAAACTCCAATTGAATCCAGACTGCTTAAAAAAGGGTAATTTAATTGATTTGTTGTTTTTCTTTGTTGTAATATTACAAAGTCAATGAGATAAAACTGTGTCATGGACTTTAGTAGAAAAACACTGGTTCTCTCCCTTAGCCTATTTACTCTTCAAGATAGACAGCTTTTTAATGGGTTGGTTTCACATAAATTCAATTTTGCAAATTTAAGATCAGGAAGGGTTTATTAAAGAATGAGAGTTGATTATAGTAAAGGTGACAGAAAATTGTCCACAGACAAACACAATTAACATCCCCCCACATACTTGGGTGATTTAATTAATTGTAGAAATGTTCTTACATTCCTTGGTTGAAGCAAAGGGCATTTGTGTAGTGTTAAAATAAATGATTTGTGTTGAAATGATTTTGACTAATTAAGAAACAACCAACCCAATTTAACATGCAAGGAATGTCTAGTACATTGTCAGAATGTTTCCACTGAAAATAATGAAATACCTCAGCTTCAAGACTTAAAGGAGTTAGTCCTCAGGGATTTCCAAAGCTTGGCTTTCTGGAAAGATTCATTCTCTGAGGGTTCTAAACGGCCAAAGTTTTATTGCACTTCCTGAGCTAAATTTCCTGCTGATAATAAAAAAATAGAGGGTTTCCTGTTTGGTTTCCCTTGTTTTTGGGTTTCCATAGAATCCATGGTTGCAATAGAGTATAGGAGTGACAAAAAAATTCAGAATATGTGGAAATCCTTTTCCTAATGTCAAGGAATGAATTTTGGAATGGTGATTGTGAACACTGTTTTTGCCTATGATAATTTTCGGTGAATATTAAAAATATATTTGAAGTACAAGAGTAGTCAGATATTTGGGCTCACTCTCTTTTAGGATCTACAAAAACAAGTCCCCATTTTTTTCTGTTAAGCACATTTAGAAGATTTAGTAGCAAAGGGATAAATCCTGTTACGATCTACTGCTCTGAGCACAGGTGGGATGTACCATGTTGCTCAATGTTCTCTCATATATGAAGTAGAAATGCTAAAGTTCAGCCTAGGGTTCAGGTGATTTAAAATTATTAAAGTTGATTTTGACAACAAAATGTGAATCACCATGTTTTGATATGTTTATAATAAAAAATGACACATTGACCTAAGCAAATTGTGTAATGATACTGGTTTTTGGCAATTTTTCTTATGTATATTAATATCTTAAACAGAGAAGATATATGTAATCACTTCAAAGTACAGCGTCAATTCTAATTTTCACAATTCATACTGTTCTGGGATCTAATTCATTGAGTGCACTTACATTTCTTTCTTTCTTTTTTAGAGATTTTTTTTTTTTTTTTGCTACCCATATACCAGAAATATTAGAACAAGACAGGCATGTCCTATCAGCAAGCCTGGTTATCTCCCTATAACTGTCCACTTATCCAAATTCTACTACTTCTGCTTTTGAGGCTAGAGATCAAGAGGCATACTGTCCAATTTCTTTGCACATATATATTTCTTAGTTAGATATTAATAATATCAAATAAATTTAATTATTTTAAGTGTAACCTGTAAATAAAATTGCCAAAACATTTTGGCAATGCTACAAATATTTTCAATGCATAGGAAATAATAAAATTTCTTATGTGTCACATTTACCAGATTTTCACTGAAACTGTATCATGCTGACACTTTGGAATTGGAAACCATTTCATAGGCTTTATTACAGAGTCTGCTAATTGGAATATTCTTAATAGTCTCTTGTGTTTAAGGGAATGGGATGTGTGTATTCAAATACAAGAGTGCAGCATGGACTTGCTAGAAACTACTGTCATCTTGAATGTTTAATGTCGAAGCCATTCTTTCTCTATAAATAGCAATGTGTTACCTAAAGCTAATATTTTCAGTGGATGCTAAGAAATTCTAGTGGTTGCAGACAAGGGAGAACATCCCATACTTCTCAACTATGCACGAAACGGAAGAATCTTAGAGGTCTAACAGAAGCACGTGAGCTTCAGCAGGTAGGGTGACCCAGTGCAGCAGAGTCATTGTTACTCTTTCGGCATCCGCACAGGGGAACAGATATCCCAGCGCTGCACACGGGCTATTCTTAGCAGGTAGCGCACAATAACAGCTTCCTCGGGGTGTGGGGGAGTTGTCAGCAAAGTGATTTATAGAGGGAAATGGCAGAACCCTTCCTTTCATGAATAGGTCGCATTAAGTCAGTCTCAGTTAAGAAGCCAACATTCTTCTGCTAAAGTACAGTACTCCAGACTTTTATGGTAAAGTAAAATAAAACAAAATTAAAATCGCTGAGCAGTCAGCAAGGAGTAAAAGTAGGGATAAAGTGTTTTTTTAAATCTTATTGAGTTTATTGGTTCATTTTAGATGTATAGTACAGTTACATTCATCATTGGGATCTTGTACCTTTACATGACAGATCCTGGTTCTCATTTTTTCCCCATTCCCCTGCCCTCTCTTCACCCCCTCCCTCCTCCCCTATTTATAAGGACTTTGTTTCCATTTTATCCTTTTCTCATACTTTTTCTTGTCCCTTACTTCATTTTCTCTGCACTTCCCACTTCCTTTACACCTTTAGCCCTTTTCTTCCTATTTCACCTTATCATTTATATAATTTGGATCTTATTATACTTTTGGTTTTTCACTCCAGAGAGATTATTTGGTATTTATACAAGTGTGTCGTATTTATTTCACTTAAGAGTATGGCCTCAATATGCATCCATTTTCCTATGAATGACTCTAGTTTCTCATTTTTTATGGTTGAGTAATATTCCATTTTATAGAAAAACCACATCTTTAAAGTGTTTTGGTTTAAGAGGCAGACCACATTAAAACAGATGAAACCAAATCAAACTATTTTATTTTTATATGTCTCCAGAAACACTGACAAAGCACCTAGCATTTTCTTTCTTTTGCTCTCCTCAAGCTTTCTCCCTTTTTGTGAAGCATCCCTTATTTGTCTAAGTGATATGCACTAGGCTTATATATGCTAAGTTACATGGTGTTGGCATTTGCTGACTTTAAAACATACTCACTATTCAGTGAGTGATGCTTATCTTTGTTGGGAACTCTTTGTATTGAGGCAAAAGAAATGTATTAAATACCCTCCATGTATAAAAAATTATACATACCCAAAATGGAAGTAATTTAAAACTAGAGTTAAAATAATATGCCAAAATATTTTCATGCAGTTTTCCCTTTAATGTTCTATAAGTCTATTACCTAGGTCATTATTTTATTTTATTTTTTTGGATACTGGGGATCCAACTCAGGATGTTAGATTTACCAGGCAGGTGGCGGCATCACTGAGCTAAATCCCTGGCCCCTAAGTCATTATTTTAAATTTATTTATAATCTTGTCTTAAGTGCTGAGAATCTTCTCCTGCAGATGATAAATATTAAGGCTTTGAGCTCAGAATATCTAGGTGGCAAGGGAAAATCTAGAGGTTTGCATAAACTACAGAAAAGCATGAGATTTTTCCAAGATAAGATGAACTCTGTGCTCTGCATTACCTGGTTTGAAAATCCAACATTTTTATCATGTTGATTTATTACTTTCTAATAGGCTGAGAACTAAGAAAAGGAATTCAAGTTGAGAGTCTTCTGTGAAGTGTTTATTAAATTTATCTATTGTCTCCTTTCTTCCTTGTTCAATTCCAACAAGAAGATGTGGTTTTTCTATAAAATGGAATACTACTCAGCCATAAAGAATGAGAAATGAGAGTCATTCATAAGAAAATGGATGCATATTGAGGATATGCTCTTAAGTGAAATATATAAGTCACACATGTGTAAATACCGAAAAGTTCCCTAGTGTGAAAAACGGTAATTGTACATATGATCCTAATGGTATAATTGACAATGTGAAATAGGAAGAAAAGGGCTAAAGGTGTAGGGGAAGTGGGAAGGGCAGGGGAAAGGAAATAAGGGAAAAGAAGAAAATATGAGAAAATGAAAAAAATGGAAATAAAGTATTTGTAAATAGGGAAGGGAGGAGGGGGTGAAGGGAGGGCAGGGATGAGGGGAAAAATGAGAACCAAGACCTGTCATGTAAAGGTGCAAGATCCTAGTGATGAATGTAACTATACTGTATACCTAAAATGCACCAATAAATTCAATGAGAAAAAAAAATCCCAATGACATTGTAATTATGGCCAAATTTAGATGACCTTTCTTTACATCAGCTGAATGAAGAAATTTTGAATGATAGCAATGGAAAATTGTTGACAGTTATCCAAAATTAGAGCTCATTCCACATTTAAAAGTCTCACTTTGAAAAGCTACCTTTAATAGGCCATTGATATGTTACCAATTAGCATGAAAACTTTCAGAGCAGGATTTGGTTGGCAAACTGTCACACAATGGAATAAAGATGGTCAGCTGCTCTGTTTGGTAAATAAAGTTTTATAGGAGCACAGCCCACTTGCTTATGTATTGCTTACATTGCTTTCCTTCTATAATGGCAGAGTTGAGTTGCTGGGAAAGAAAAAGCCAGAAATATATGCTATTCTTACCCTTCAGAGGATATTTGATGACACCTGTTTTAGTCATGACCATTCTTATTGCAAAGTTACTGTCTCGCTATCAAGGTATAAGATGATGGGGGAAAATAATGAAATTAACTTGACTGGGCTTCGGTCTCCCTTTCCCTCAAGAACCTCCCCACCCTAAGTACTGTGCTAAGAATGTATACCGTCCCATGTAACTCTGACATCAACTCTGTTTAGATAAAATCAGTATTTTCACTTAATTATAAAGAATTGAAGTTTGGGAAACTGAATAATACACTTGAGTTTACTCAACACAGTAATTATTAAAATATTAGTTCATAAATCTCATGGCTCTGCAATCCAACATGCAGAATACAATTGGGGATTTATAAGTATGTACACGCATCTACCTATCTGATGTGAAGATTAAATACCTTAATGTACACAAATTACCCCAAAGTGCCTGACAAAATGCCGAAGGTACTCGATAAAAGCTTGTCTCTGCCTTCTTACTTGTGGACTTAAAGAGTTGAAATTGATTTAGAAAAATATCAATGTGTATTTGGTATGGAAATAGCATAACTAATCAGACTACAAGATAGAAGCCATAGGATTTTCTTCTTTTTAGGGGTAGCCCACCATCAGTTGGTCAGATGTCGTAAAAGCCAACTGCAGACACTACCTGGTCTCAGCTGGGATTAAAAATAAAACTTTGAAGGACAGATGGCTCTGGATAGAGGTCTAAGCTATGGTTATAGAAATGATTTTATTTTTTCCTACTCAAAGCTCACTGACTCCTAGGGATTACCTTCATGACCCTAGCATCATTAGCACTGTGCTCTAACCAGCTGAGCTAATTGGACTATTAGGATTCATAAACTCAAATCCAAAGCTACCTACATTCATGTATGCTTTCATTAACTTCCCTGGGTTATTTGTTCCTTGAGTGTGTTGGGTTCTAAAGAATACATATTTATAGGCTCAAATTAGTGTGTTCTAGCCGGGGACTTAGCTCAGCGGTTTGGTGGCCTGCCTTGCAAGGGCAAGGACCCGAGTTCAATCCCCGGTACCAAAAAAAAAAAAAAA